CGCTGTGGAAACCGACGGCAAAGGCGTCGGCCATCTGGTCGTAGTTAAGGTGCCTTCTCTCCATTCTCTGCATCTCCCACACAGACATACAGATATTACTCATTGACTTTGATGTACATTCAACGTCCCTTTAACGCTTCTTCTAACCAGCCTGCTTGTCTCCTAACAGCCTCTGGACTTTGAGTCCTCTGCCACCTACCAGCTCCAGGTTGATGCTCGTAACCCGGAGCCGCTGCTGAAGGGTCTGGAGTACGGCAGCGAATCCACAGCCTTCGTCTCTGTGTCTCTCACTGACGTCGACGAGGCTCCGGAGTTCAGCCTGGACATCCTGGACGTGAATGTGCCTGAAAACACCACCAAGGGATCAGTGCTGCTCACGGTGGAGGCAAAGGATCCAGAGGGCAAAGAGATCAGGTACACACACAGAAATAAGACGACACAGGCAAAAGTAAGCAAATAAAACCCAAATCACATGAAAAGACCAAAACAAATAATGAATCGATCCTTCCAGCATGTATTGTCTGTGTACGCAAAGCCTGATATATCTTCCTTTAATCAAACACAATGGTATCCCACTGTTAAAGATGTAGGCCTTCAGCTCAGAGCCACAGACAGGGTTAGGGAGTTGGAAAGTTGAAGACAGACTGATATGTTGTTGGTTTTGGTCTTTTCGTGGGATTTGTTGACAACAGTAGAAATATAGAATAACACCTTAAAGCAACTTAAAGGTGCAGTTCATCTAAGGCCACTTTGTACTCTATGATAGAAGACTGAACACAAACACACATCTGAATAGATTTCATAGCTCAGGAATTGTTCCGCTATCAGCTCTGGCTTTGTTTGTAACGTTACTGCTACTGTTAGGACTATCACATGTACCCAAAACAGACTATTGATTTGTTTTGACGACCGTTATCCCCCCGGGCCTCAGTTCAGAGCCTGGTGTGTCATGGATGATTTCTAATATCTGCTCTGTGTGTGTGTGTGTGTGTGTGTGTGTGTGTGTGTGTGTGTGTGTGTGTGTATGTGTGTGTGTGTGTGTGTGTGTGTGTGATTGCTGGTGTGTTGTTCAGTTTTAAGATGGACGGTGACACTCGCGGCTGGCTGGAGATCAATGCTGCCACGGGAGAGATCAAGACCAAAGACAAGTTGGACAGAGAAACCCTGGAGTCTTTTGAAGTCACTGTCACTGCGTTTGAGAAGGGTGAGATATTAGACTCTCATCATAACTTATTAGAGGGTTTTTTGTGTTGTTTGTATGACGGCCTTACAGTTTTACTTTTTAGGATTTGTGCTGTCCTGTCTGAAATTAGGAATATTTCTATTCATACAAAGCACTGTTGGTACAGAAGTGGATTTAAACACATTAAAGTGTTTAGTTTATATTTGTTTATGTACACGACATTTTAAATCTGACCATTGTTTATTGTTACTCAACAAACTGTTGAATCAGCGAGGCGTTTTCATACTTTCTGATTTCTCTCTGAAGACAATCCGGTGAAGTCGTCCGAGCGCGTCGTTTCCGTGAGGCTGCTGGACGTGAACGACAACGTTCCCAAACTGATGGAGACGCAGGCCTTCATCTGTGTGAAGAAACCTGAACCTGTCATCATCAAGGCCCAAGACGCGGACAGCGCCCCCTTCTCCCAGCCCTTCACCTTCGCTTTCGCCCACGGCAAGAAATCTCCCAACTGGGAACTGAAAAGTGTTGACGGTACACTAACAAACTGTAGCTGCTACTGAAGTGACGGTATAAAACTGAGCTGTATTTTTAAATAATCACTTTGTTATTATCTCCTTTTACACGTCATGCAGGTACAACGGCGAAACTGACCCTGAGGAAATCCCCAACTGAAGATAAAACCTTCACAATCCCCATTAACATTAAAGACAATGCAGGCATAGGAGTCACACAGTCGTTTGCGGGTGAGTTCATTCTTTAAGTTAAGCTTAAAGGGGAAATCTGGTGACCAATACCAAGAAAAGACAAAAAACAGCAATGAATTGATCTGAAGTGTTGTCTTTGTAGCCAAAGCCTGATACTGTATAGTTTATACCAGAGAACCAATTTTTGTCCAAAGAAAACAATTAAAACCCCATCAATGAGCCACATTGTTTCAATGTGTGACATATATCGTCATCACCGTCAACTGGCATTTATTCCAATCCCATTCCTCACCGTGTTGCTGTAAATACTCACTGGGGCACAATGTGTATATTAATCCACCGCTGAAAATAGTCCCCAACAAATGTGTTATTTTCTCCAATTTAATTTGCTAAAAAACACAGTGGCCAGCTGTTTTAGGAAATGACTGAGCTATTTTGTTTCTTTTTTTAAGCATCAGATTATTTTTGATGACCATTTTAAAATGTTATGTCTTCAGAAAGAACACACGCGCTCGTGTTTTAGAGCCTGCATATTTTAGCAGGAAAAGACTGAATTTCAAGGGCTGTGATAAGAGATCGGTTGTTGATGGTTAACTTACACGCTCTTCGTCTGTCTCTTATAAAAGTTTGATGACGTGTGTGTTGCTCTCTCCCCTCTGTACCAGTGAGAGTATGTAACTGCACAGAGCTGGGCTACTGCTACATCGCACACGAGGAGCGTAACCTCAGTTATGGGATAGGACCCACCATCGGGATCCTGGCTGGCGTTCTGGGATTCTGCAGTAAGTTGTCATATAAAAGTCCTGAAAAAAACAAAACTCACACATGAACCGGCATCCTTCATACTGTACATTCCGATGTTATCGTTTAGTTTTGTGTGGGCGGTGCTGACTCCATTTTGTTTTTGTCTTGTTGCAGTAATTGTTTTCGTCATAGTGATCAAACGCGCAAATAAAGGCGGCAAGAACACGAACCTGAATGAAGAAGAAGAGAGGAACGCCATTATGTAGACACACACACACACACACGTATTTGTACTTTTATACTTGTGAGGACTTTATCTGTCACATCTACATGCCTAACCTGAATTATTGTGTTTGCTGAACTGAACCCTCTAAACCAAGACCTCTCTAGGCTAACTCTGGCTTATTTACAGTCTTTTGTTTCTGCATCTGCCTTGCCAAATATAGAATGAAAAATTAATTAATAAAATATATAAATCTTTACCAGCCAAACAGCAGAAGTGAGGACTGGATTTTCCAAGTTTCCTCACTCTCAAGATCTAAAAGTTGAATTAGTTCTCACATAGATAGATGTGCACACACACACACACACACACACATACACATTTACATAACATTATTTTATTTAGAAGAGAGTGTTGCTTAATCAGTGCTGTGCATACTTAATTACTGTCAGGTGTCCCCATGCTAATCGTGAATATATAACGTTTGTTAACATATTTTATTTGAAGTTCTTTCCCAGACTGAGGTTGTTTCATTAGCAGTTTAATCATCTCACATAATTCAATTCGTTTTTGGCCCAGAGCTTTTGTGTTGTAATTCTCTTCCGTGTGAATGTTGTGTTACAGCTGAAAATATCTTTAACTTTAAGAAACTGTGTAATTACTGTGTGTAATTAACAATAACGACAGTGTTTTGTGAGGAGCTGCACTGCTGTTTCCCAATAAACAAAGAAACTGGGAACCACTTTGGTTTTCACGTTATCAATGTGTGTTTCTGTCTGTGTGGGTGTGTGTGCACTGCAGCACACGTGTGTAGTATATGTGTGCACTGCAGCACGTGTGTACCGTATATGTGTGCAGTACATGTGTGTACAGTGTATGACAGAGCAGACGCGTGGTGCAGCAGGTGATCGAAGACGTGCACTCACACCTCAGCTCGTACCAAATAACTTTCTCTCTGATCATATTTCTCACTAACATTTACTCTGTGCTTATAGTCAGTACTGTTGAATTAGTCTTTTTCTTCCTCCCGCCCTGCCAGTCTGTCGTTGAGCAGCCACGGTACTGCAGAGAGTGATGCTCTGAGTCATCTCTTCGACAGTGGCAGACGGGCCGCAGATTGTTAGCAGTGCTGAAAGGATGAATTGGCGTGATTGTGGGCTTTTATGCAGCACAAAGGGGCCGCAACACACAAAAAGAAAACGACGCATACATGTGAATGCTGAATGTGGCTGTCACATGTGCTGCCATGAACGTGCATCCTTTCCTGTCAATGTGCCGTGTTTGTGAGTAACTGTGTGCGGTGTTTGAGATGAGTCATCGAACGGTCTGCTGCAGCTTACAAAAGCCAAACGGAGAACAGTGTCAGAGTGGACTGAGCTATGGCTTCATGATGACAAACTCAACATGGAGCCTCTCCGGTGTTTATGTCTGCACTCTCTCCTCGCCTGTATCCCGGCAACACTTTCCACAACAACACACACACATATATATATATATATATATATATACATATATATATATATATATGTATATATATATATATATGGAAACGCTCAGTCCCTTTGTGCCAGTGTTGACAGCGATGCAAAAAATAAACGTCTAAAGTAGGGGTCTTCAACGTTTTTCAGGCCAAAGACCCCCAAACTGATAGAGAGATGGAGCAGGGACCCCCGACTATATATATTGTATAAAATTGTGCTTTATATTAAACTGGGCCTAGTGCCATGTATAAGCATACCTCTTTATTGTGCATTCAATACTAAGCTTTTCAAATAATACACAGGTTCATATATTCATGTTTTCATTTTAAACATGTGCAAGGTACAGTGAGTAGGGTGGCCGTGCCACTGCCATTTATAAACATAGCTTGTCAGCTGATACCAATGCCAATATCAACATTGTCTGTCAATTGCATGATAATCATGCATACAAGCTATTCAAATTGATGTTTTCATTTTAAACATAAATGTGGAAACGAAAATGAGTGATGGCTTATTAATGACACTGCCATGCATAAACATACCTGTTATCTTGCATACAATACTGAACTATTAAAATAATGGGCAGATTCATGTGTGCATTTCTGACTGAAAAATAACATCTTCTGCCTCCATTTATCCATTCGCTACAATATGTTGGATTTATGTTAATGTCCTAGACCTGACCTAGATAATTAACAAAGACACAGGTAAATATAACTAAATCTATGGTTTAAATACACGTATACTGCCATCTACTGGTAGAAAGGATGAACACGTTTACTCTGCATCTCCTTATACAGTCTATGCATTATATAAAACAAAAAACGAATAAACATGGTATTTCTGTATGTTAGTTTCTTCGATTAAACGATAAAACAATCAATTCAAATGTACATAAACCACAATCAGCATTTTTTTCAGTTTTCATGAAATCAGAATTATCAATTTCCATGTTGCATTTTGTCGTGTAGTCATTCTAATGACTTTTTTACAGTCTTGTACTTCAACATTACTTCAAAACATCTAAAGGTGTTCATTAAAAAATCGAACTGCTGCTGGAACGAAAGACCTTCTTAGTCGTTCAGTAGAACACTGAGGCATCCTGAGTCTCTCATAAATGAGCTTCGGAGTCCATTAAAGACACCGTGTAGTGGATGGTCTTCAAAATAAACAACTGTTTTTAACTTGGCCCTTGTTCGCTTTTCTACAGTGACCTCTGGGGTTAGGCCAATCACTGATCCAGCCTTCCTGATCATCTTATTGATCCTGTTTGATCCAGGTGATATCCAGAGCAACTTTAAAACACACAAATATGTGTGTGTAAAGAACTTTTTCATATACGTGTCAAGGTTTAGATGAAGACTTGTGACCTTTGAACTCTTGGTTGAACAGTTAATCATGACTTTGAAAAAGGTCTGGTCTTAATATCACATGTTTATTACTAGATAATTTTAGCATACAGCTTTACATAACTTGTGAAAAGAATGCTTTGACTGTTACTTCAGTTTTGATATGATCTTTTAAATGAATGTTAATGATATGCGTACATTTATTACTATGAAAAGATACACACTGAATACCTCCTAAGACCACATTCAACAAAATCATGCATGACTTAGCCTGACTACCAATAGTCTCTAGCTCTACTTAGATAAATAATATTAGCTTCATTATTAGTCATTCTGATAATTAAAAAAGGGAAATGTATTATAGTTCTGTGGATGAAATCATTTTTGTTTCATATGTTCCTGTATGTGTTCTGGAGGGTTACTACTGAAATTTAGACCAACACCACCTCCAAATTTTTTTGGCTCCATTAGCTATCGTACAAACAACTGAGTTACTCTCCTCAGCTATCACTCTGGCCTCTGCTTCATGCTTTACACGCACCCTTTCTCTTTCTTCTCTCAGTTCTCTGTCTAGCTGTTTTATCCTGTTTTCTTTCTCCTCTCTATCTCTCATTCTCTCTGCTTCTCTCTCTTTGTTCTGTCTGTCCTCATACATCCTCTGCCTCTCCCTCTCTCTGTCCTCATACATCCTCTGGCTCTCCCTCTCCCTCTCCTCATACATCCTCTGGCTCTCCCTCTTCATTTCTTCCCTTCTCTCTTTCCCCTCCCCCTCTCTCTGCTCAGCACTCCGCTCCCGCTCCCTCTTCCTCTCCTGCTCTCTCTCTTTCCTCTCCTTCTCTCTCTCCCTCTCTCTGTCCTCATCCCTCCTCTTCATTTCCTTCTCTCTTTCTTTCCTCTCTCTCTCAGCCTCTTCATTCTTTTTTTCATATTTTTCCCGTAGTTTCCTCTCCAGTTCCTCATTCTCTTTGTGTATTTGCTCTTCTTTCTCTTTCAGGATGCGTTGTGTCTCCTCTTTGATTGCCCTTTCTGCCTCAATGAACATCTCGTTGGTGTAGTGGCTTCCTCCATTCTTCCGGACTACATCTCTGATCTTCTGGAGCAGCACAGTGACCTGAGAGCGATCCTTTGGATTCTCATTATTGAAGACATGGTACTGGCCATTACATCTGTCCACAAGTTCCAGCAGGTCTGAGCAACCGTCCAAGAACTCCTCAATAGATGTGTCTTTAAGACGGTCACCCTGAGTAAAGAGCACCATGCTGTATTTGGCTGCAGCCTGGCCAAAGATTTCTTGAATTCTCTGCACTGTCTCCTTTTCCTCTGCAGTGTATCTGCCCACCCCGATGACTACCAGGAACACATGGGGTCCAGGAGAAGCAGAAGTGATGCAGTGGATGAGATCTTTAGTTGTTTTCTCCTTGTCAAACCTGGTGTCAAAGAGGCCCGGGGTGTCGATAACAGCAACCTGTTGCCCATCCACCACAGCTTTGCCCTTGGAACATTTGAGAGTCATAGATTCGCCACTGCACTTTGATATAAAGCGCTTTTGTCCCAGAATGGTGTTTCCAGAGGCACTCTTCCCATTCCCAGTCTTCCCCACCATCACTATCCTCAGCTCCCCATCATTTGTTCTGCTGCTTCCTGTGTAGAAGAATGAGTGACACTGAATAAGACTCAGGTTGTACATACGTTGTACTCAATGCAACTTGTACATATGAGAACAGAAACATCCATTCTGCTGCTTTGACAGAGTCAATAAAGGAGTTTGTTGGAGGTTCCAATTTACAACATTTGTTGCAGACTTTCATTTGAGACAAATAAATGTTCTCTTCTGGCTTTCGCTCCATCATCTAATGTGGCTTCCATACTGTTCATTTCACCACTTACAGGAAAAGACAGCAGGTCTTTAAATTAAACTACCCCCTCTGTCAGCTGAAAGTGGAACAGCAAGGTGGAAACATGTCCGCCTATCCAGACTGACGCATTCCTTTGAAGGTGTCTCAGATTTAAAAAATATTTTTTTTGTAAAAAAATTGTTTGTCAGTCACATCACTTAATAAATCAAAGAAAAGGTTCAACTGGACCTCCCTCCAAAAGACAATTCAACCTCCCTACCAAATAATACAATAACAAAAACAGAACAAATTAACTTTTTACTCAGATTCCAAAGAACAAAAACTGCATTCGTCTGACTTAACTATGGATAATTATTTTTTTTTCTAGTGATGAAGAAATCATGATTTTAAGGGAAAAGAAGAATTCCAGAATTCAAATCAAGTTACATTCTTGGTACTAAAGTCAGAAAAACTAAATGTATTTACAGTTCTACCCAGTAAGTCTGATACAGTATTAGTTTATAGGACAGAGGTAGCCCACACGGTACCCGCGGGCACCCTGTCGCCCGCAGGAACCACGTGAGTCTCCCGCAGGGACCACGTGAGTCTCCCGCAGGGACCACGTGAGTCTCCCGCAAGGCATGTTCTAAAAATAGCACTAGTCACCATGGAGGTCCGTCTAAAATTGTAGTGTCTGTTCTTTTTTAATCAAAAACGCTTGCATTAGTGTAGATTTTAAAATGACAATATTTCTTGTCATAAGAGAGTTGGGTACCCGGAGGCGCACGGCGGATACCCAGGACGAGGCCGCCGCACCGCACTAGGTTTTCAGGTTCCGAATGACGGGCGCTTCCCGTTGGTGCAAGACGCGCCCCGCGAGCGCACCCCGTCGTCGGGTCCGTAAATCCTCGGAACAGGCCGCGGGGCAATCCGATCGAAAAGGCCCAGACTAGAGGTGTGAACGCGGGCGCCCGAAGACGCTCGCGCGACTCGGAGGGTTGGATCCCTCGCTCGGCTATAGACGAGACTTTTTACTAGTTTCGTCGTGGAGAAAAAGGTAGCATTGGAAAAGCTGGTGTCGGTGACAACAGACGGGGCTTCCGCGATGACGGGCCGGCATGCAGGCTTCATTGCGCAATGCAAAGGTGACCCAGACTTCGCAAAATGTCTACATTACCACTGCATCATTCACCAGCAGGCGCTATGTGCAAAAGTAACCGGCTTTAATCATGTGATACAAAAATATCAGAGATGTGATACCTCTGACTTTCAAATGTTGAAACAGATTAACAGAAATAAAAGTTGCATGTTTAAATATGTATGTGTAGCTATACCATCATTGTTGTGGAAATCATTCTTAATAATTATTGTGAGGAATAATTAACTGACGTGTGATCAAACTGTCTCTTCACATATATTATTATTATTATTATTAAGGTGATCTGTGCAACTTTGTTATTCAGGAAGTTTGTGTCAAATAAGTAGCCCTTCGTACTACTCGGTACCCTTGAAGTAGCTCTCAGTTTAAAAAAGGTTGGTGACCCCTGTTATAGGAGGTACAGAGGAACATTTCATGAAATTAGATTCAGCAGTGAGCACTGCTATATCACCGAACAATAATTTACTTTAAAAACATAGATACAGTTTCCGACTTACCTAAGTTGCTGGCCATGTTTGTGTTAAAGAGTGGAGTCGATACTGCAGCTGAAGTTCAGGCAGTTCAGAGTGTCTCTCGTGCAGATCTGTTGGAACAACCGTTACTAAACCATGTACTAAACCACGCCCACAAATGAAAAGGGAAACTAAAGCTTTTTATGGAGGTTTCGGTTATGGAAGGATTTTTATTAGATGAGAATATATGCTAAATACAATATAGTCTTTAATCATGTTGGAGTATACCTAGTCTTGTTTTAACAAAGAAAGCAAGATACATTAGTTATTCTAGATTAATTAATCAAGATAGTATTACTATTAGCTTAAACAATCTCACAAGCTTTGTCACATAATACATTCAGTTATTACCAGAGCTTTAGTGTAGTATACATTTTAAAGAGTACTTTCAATGTTTTAAACCTCGATCCCTTTGCAAAAACCATCCATGAAGATTGAGAAAAAAGAAAATAATTTAACTTTAACATGCATACAGTCATGATTATATCCCAGATAAATATGGGACTTGTGTGGAGAAAAGTGTTTCTTGATGACCACATGCTGGCTTATACATCACATCGTTTCCTATAACTGTCACGGTTGTGGGGCAGAGCAGAGCCTCAAGAGCAGACACAAACACTGGACAAAGTCTTTTACGAGGCTCCATGCGGTCCAAACACAGGAAGTCAGTTCGTAAAGGTAAACAAAAACGACAAGTAGCAGGCAAAACTCCGAAAACCGAGAACACGGTAAAGTAACAAACCATAGAAATTGACACGAGGGAAAAATGCTGGAAGACGATGACACACGGTTTAGGACAAAGACAATATGGCAACCAGAACAGGGAAAGCAGGCGAGTATATATGTGTAGGGTTGGCAGAGGGAAAACCCAATAAATAACTTTCCTGTGCAAGTTCCCGCTGTTGTTTGACTTGTATTTTGTGTTTGAATTCAGCCTTCCAAAAAAGGTTGATTCAGTCTAAAAGTGTGTCCCCTGTTTATCTGACTTCTGTATCAGGCCCAGCTGTACTTTCCGGTAAGTTCCTGCGTTATCTGTACTCAAATGGTCGCCACTTTCTGAGCATTTACAAGAAATGGCAGCACTTCTTTAAAGCAGCACAAAGCTCCCCCTCCCCTTCAGTATTTCCAGGAACAGGCTGCAGTTCTCCTGAATAACACGGGATACTTTGGATTAACTTGTTCATCGACCTAGCTAGGTAATAATTTATACAACGACTAACAAGAATGACATGACAGGGCAGGGCTGCAAGACATTGCGAGGCAAGTTTTTTATTTAATATGACATACTATAAACAAAGACAATTCAAAGTGCCTTTCAAAATGTATTAATTAATTAACCACATGAACCAGAAAGTGCATCAATAGAAATGAATAGAAATTACTGTTACAATTTGAGAAAAGAGAGACTTACAAGACAGTAAACCTTTAGGTTCTTTAGTGCTTTAGTCGATTCAACATATTCACACGGAGGACATATTGCTCTGACATCGTGCTCAGGGAGGGAAGGAATCTTCTGGAAACTGTCGAACTGCTGTATAACTGTGACGAAGTGAAGCAAACATTTGAAGCGTCCGGGGTGTCGATAACATCCACCACAGCTTCGCCCTTGGAACAGTCTAAGGGAAAGAAAGAAAAATAAATTGTATAATTTTGAAAAATTTATATTGTAATTTATAATCCAAAATGTAATTTTCCCCCATTTTCATTATTGCATTCTATTATTTCATTACATGTGAAAGTCTCGTCTTCTTCATTCAACAGAGCACAAAACTGAAGTTCAGTGCTGAAGAGGGAACCTTCCTCTTATTTATTACTGATATTTTGTAGATCTGTGTGTGTTTTCTATTTCCAAAGAAACAACTAGACAGCTTCTGTCATTTGTAAAAAGCTATAATGTTGTCAAAGAAGAGCTGAAATGATCTATTCTGCTTTTAATAATTAATAAAATGTGTCACTATTTAAATGACAGTAAATTCTGTGTGGATAAAAACTTATTTGTCAAATCATTTTTCAACCTGACAAATTGTGACTGCCCCTAGTGGTGGATAAACAAATTCTATTAGGTGTTGAGCTCTCCTCTGTTGCAATATTGTATATCAGAGACAGAGTTTGTGTGGGATGATTTTTATTACACATGCTGCATCTTTAATCTACGTAAAAGTTCAAGCATGTAAACAAATTCCGTTAACAAATGTCACTCGGTCTGCTTTTACGAACTAGCCCTGGAAAAAACATGTTTATGTTATGTTTATTTCCAGTAAACTGACTGTCTGTCACCTATAAACCAGTTACACCAGTTGCTCTGGACGTCAACAAGAGCTGTTGGCTCAAAGTAAAGTTTGTTCTTTGTGACACAACAGGAAATGTGATTAATAAAGAAAAGTATTATATTCTCAATCTTACATCAGGGTTTGATGTATATTCACAGATCTTGTATGAGTAGTAGTTAAACCTCCTCACACTGTCTGATACTGCAGCATCATCTAGTGGCAGTTCACTGACTTGTCTTGTGGATCTGACAACTTGTGTCAATAGTGGAGGAAAAACTGAGATCCGATACCAAAAGGTAAAGATACTCCATCATATAATACCTGCATTGGGAATTGTAATGGGGTAAAAGTATATCAGTATTACCAGGGAAATGGAAGGTATAACGTTAGTGAAGTAATGTCCACCTCTGTGTGTACTCTGAGCCTCTCCTTGTTTACTTAGCCGGGGCGGCCGCACCAGCGTTTAAGTGCACGTGAGCTTGTCTCACTTGCTAGCTAGAGGCTGCGCTTATATGGCGGTTACCTGTGATGATGCTGTCCCGACCACGTGTTTAACATTAGCACGTGTTAACTAAAGCTGCTCTGAAATGTAGTTTAATGGAACTACAAAAAGAAAAAATGGAAAAGCAAAAGTGAAGTATCTAAATGTTGTGGCTACCGACGGTAACGAGGTCGCAGTAAAAGCAGTCACACCTGCAACAGGCTATCCCTCAAGGTGGAGGTTACCCGGATGCACCACCGGAAACACACAGCAAAGTACCAAGTGGTGTGTATTTAGTGTTTTATTAAACCATTCCATTTACAAAATTGAACCCACATAAGTTACAATCTATACATACAACTGTAAATAAGCAGTGTAACATACTGTCAGAGCTGTATAAATAATCTTTAACAATGTACATTCTGCTCAGTTATTTGGGTTTTACACTTAAACACAGTCATTAGTGTTCAACTAGAGTGTTAGGAGAATGCTTCTGCTTTTTTTTTTTTGCTGTCATGAGTAATAAAAACCCAACCAAAACTGCTAATGACCTGTCAGAAAAAATAACACAAGGCATGATGAACTTCTCACCCAACAAAGCTTGAAAAAGAACTACACGTTTTCACACAGTGTCTGCTTAGACTTAGAGGTTCACTAACAGACAAACTGACTTTGAGTTTTCCCCCATCACTAACCAGTGGTGCTGTATTATATAAGTGGAGAGTAATTTACTTAATTACTTCTACTGTCGACCTGTAGTGGTGCACAGTGACCCGTCAACACTCTGCAGCCTGTAAATGTTGCTCCAATTTTGTGCTCCAGCATATTAGATTTGAAACGAAAACAATCACTAGCTCGCTGGTTCCCAGGCTTTTTGGCGTGTGGCCCAATTTTAGAGGTTTCCAGTTTTTATTTAAATAGATGCGTTTTATGCAACATCATTTTTCTCTCTCTTCCCAATCATCATCTTGCGACCCTTGAAAGTCAGTAGGCTACTAAACATCATCTAAATACTCAGACTGAAGTGTAACTGCAGAAAATGTGTATGCTTGGACAGTACTAAGAATATATCATACTATGAAATACACAAAGGAGTAAAAACATGCAGATGTAACAGCCCCCAGTTGTAACAGGTGCAGCCTAGAAAGTAAGATCGATTGTGCCTGGGAACTCCAGAGGGCAGAGAAAGATGGTGTTGGTGTTATAATGGCACAGCCCAGCTAGAGTCCATATAAAGAGAGGCAGGTCAATCAGTGCTGCATCCACCACGGCTTCTTCACTCATGAACCTTCACCCTCTTTGGATCATTTCAACCCTGCTCCGTCCTTCAGCAAACGAGGGAAGTTGACTCTTTTGGCACAAAAATCTGTTTGTAACAGCGTCTTTTTAGCCACGCAGAGAAATGTATACGAAACCAGAGGATATTGAATCATCAATAGCATGTTATATATATATATATATATATAAGATACTTCAATCCAATGAAGACCTTACCTTCATGAGGAACCGGATCTCCTCTAGCACTGCATACAAACATACAAATTCTTTATATAAGTTAAAACAATTCTTCCGACCGCTGGACAGATGCTTTCTTAGTATGGCCTGCTTGTCCACAGAGTGTGCCGACGTGTAGGTGTACACAGTTACACAAGTGTGTGTGTGTGTGTAGTCCACAGGGGACGGCTTTTGTACGACTCAGGACTGCCCTTCTGGCCGCTGTGCTCCGATCACATGAGGGTTGAACTGAGAGATGATAATGGTGATGTCATCGCGGTACATGCGAGCCAGCTCTTCGGGCAGCGACAGCATTTTCGACAGCCTCTCGTGGTCGACCGTGCCAAATTCGTTGTTTCCCACCGCGTGACGCATCAGGTGGGTCGCCGAGTTGTAATCCTCGAAAGCCGAAGACACGCGAGCCTTTCTCTCTTCGAGCAGCCCCTGCATCTGTCCCAGGGTGACCTTGTAGCCTCCGACTTTGAGGGGCTGACGCTGGTGCACCCCCGTTAAATACTCCCCGACTATACGAACCACTTCCTGTCTGTGGAGGGTCTCCCAGAGGCCGTCAGAAGCAATCACCTGCAGGGACAGACGGAGGAGAGATGGAATCAGAAAACAGACGATTGTTACGTATATGTTGTAATAAACTGAAAAGACTCAGTGGCGGTTAATAATCCAAGCAAACTTGACTCTAAATGAGATCCATGCAGCTGGACAGGTTCGCCGAAAGTTGACTTACAGAAATTGCATTTTCTAATGCGGTATAAACTTTTGAAATTTGTGAAAAAGGATGAAGGAAAATTGTAATTCAGTCTCATTATGAAAATATAAATCTCTTTTAAAAATTGTTTCATGCATCAGTGTGTTTTGGAAACAAATTCAGATTCGTCTTCTCTCACCATGAAGCGATCCTGTGGCCGCAGCTTGTGGTACGTGATCTCCGGCTCGGCGGTCAGGTAGGGGGGCGTGTGGTAGTTTGGAGGGATGAACTTGGTGTGCTCGTTCTCATGGAGCTGATCAGGTCCAGACTCCAACACACCCTTCTGCAGTTCAATACTCCACTTGAACTTCACGTCCCCGAATGCACGCAATGGCATGAGGAGGCCGAGCAGACGGTCCTGATGAAGAAGGTGACGGAAAGAGGGCGAGAGGTTTTAATAAACGCTGCAACAACAGCAACCACATTGTGCAGATTAGTAGGTGTACTACCTGTCGTATAATGGTCTTCCTCTCTGATGGAGGGTGTTCACCTCGTATCCGAGCCACCTCCTCCTCGTTCTGGGCGCTGTGGTCGTTGGAGAGAGTGTGAGCGCTGAACGAACCATCCTCCTCCTGCACCCCCAACACCGCCCGAGCGTCTCCTGAGTTAGCTATGAACCTTTATGGAACAGAGAGACGAAGAAGCAAGCCTGAGACATGTCGGTTTAGTTCAAATAAATGTGTGCATGTTTCTATCCTCCTTACAGGTCTGATCCATCGATGTGAGCCACACAGGCCGTTGCTCCAGAAAAGGCCACTCTCAGGACCCAGTAATGCAGGAAAGCATTCGGGTCTCCAACCTGCATGGCAGAATGACACCGTGAGTCTACCGACAGGATACGGAATGTGGTTTAAATTACACGGAGAGAGAACGACACCTGAGCTCTTTAATCCATAAAAGTTTAAATTTGGATGCTCACATTTTTTTGCACAGCTGCCATGAGGCAAAAGTGATTTTCAATACGTATCATGACGTACGAGACGACACACATCAAGTCCTGCAGTCGGAAGAAATTTAATGATGTAATAATAATGTTGAGTTTGATGGGTTGGCTACAGCAGTGTTGTCCAAGGGCATATTTCACTATGTTTGTTTGCTGAGGAAAACCCAGAATGAGGCCCTAAATCTGCATGTAAAACATGTAAAAACACCTGCTTTGGGATTTTCTCATTCAGGAGTCTTAGGGGAACATCTTAGTTCCTCATAAAACAAGATGCTTTTAGAATAACCATGTTTCCTGTTAAGACAGCACACAGTTGTTACCTGAGCCTCCAGAGAAATGTCATTGTCCAGCCTCTTGAAGGCGTTCAGCAACGCCTCGTGGGTGTCTGGAACTTCACCAGGGCTGAAAACAGAGAAGAGGAGCAATATGTGTGAAACACAGAGAGGAAGCCAGAGTTCAAGAACAGATCAAGACAGAAGCACCATCGGCAAAACAACAGACGGGTCAGTGTTGGTGTGGCCTTGTTGCTACGAGGTAAAGGTGAAGATGAAATAAGAAACTAGGAAATTCAGTTTGTTAGGAAAAGCCAAGAAACCTGACAGCAAACTACACCCTTTTGAAACCTGCATTGTGGCCACAGTGCTGTTGTCTTGGCTTTGTCGTACATCCTCTTGTGTTCCCCCGGTCCTCACCTGGTGAGATCTATCAACTCCTGCCAGTAGGTCCTGAGGCTGTTGAAGTAGAGAGTCTGAGCCTCCTTGCTGAAGTAGTCGTTGGGGTGCTTGTGCCACTGCAGGATGGGACTGAGGGCCCGGCCGGCCTCCACCGCTGCCTCCAGCTCACACAGTGTGTTGTGGGGCAGCAGAGACACGGCTATGTAGTAGAACAACCGCTCACTCAGCGCCTACCAGAGAGTTGGAAAAATAATGTCAATGCAACAGGGCGTATAGAAATGACTTAGGAAAATACTAAATAAGTTGCCAACATCTCAATTTAAAAAGTATTAGTTGGTATGTTCCTATTGCTGAATTTCTGGAAAAGCTTTAATAACCAAATAGTAGAAAATAAAGAAAATAGTAAATATATCTGTTCCTCAAACCACCCAATTTATTATGTTTACAAACGTAATGTCTTGGTGCTTCAGGCTCTTCTAAGCATGCACCATGTTTGAAAATGTATTGACTGCTGACAAATTAAACAGATTTAATTCACTTGACAATGAAAGAAACATCCTTTTTCTATCAAAATTGTGAATTTGAAAGAACTTGATCGGATATGGAGTATAGAGTGCCTCATCCCTGGATAGGATACTCAAATGATATTTTAACAAACAGTAAATTTAACACTAGATTAGAAGTAGAATGTGAAGACAGAGTCGGCTTTACCTGTGCACAGGCACATCCAGCGTGGCCGTCAAACACACCCAGCAGCATTCCTCTCGTCTGCAGGCACGTGGCCGCACTTCGACGGTCCTCTATGGGAGCATTGGCCGGCAGCTGGTTGCTCTCGAAGCCCATCACTGATGACACATTCTTCCCATCAAACTCTGGCACCTGGAACAACAACATGTAAAAAAAATTTTTTTAAAAAAGGGTAAGATGAAAAATTGAAATGTAGAGATGGCCAGATGGGTTTTTCTCTGTTCGCACGAACCTTGAAGCTATACTCGTTGGCTTTCAGGATAGAGTTGACCTGCGGGGGGGAGAGGATGTAGCTGCGGAGCGCCGTGGTTGTCTGGTAACTCCGCGAGTGCTGCTGGCTCTGCCATACACGAGAGGGCCATCTGGAAGCAGGTCGGTGAGTGACGGGTCCTACCTGGGCCTGGTGTTGTGGGCATGGTAACAGACTGGAGGCCAAGACCGTAGCACGAGGCAAACCTCTGAGCAGCTGAGATGTCACAGGCATGGCTGCAGGTGCACTTACACAAACCTATTGAAGAGGCACACATGGAGAGCTCATAAAGCAACAGCTGCATGTTTAACAAGAGAACAGCGTCTCTTTGTGCACCATTAAGCAAACATTGTGTAAACAGAAGGAGCACATGTGCAAAGGTTTAGAAGTTCAGACGGGTAGACAGTAGCTGGTACATACATAAGTATCCCCAAAACAACCAAACACCTCCAACCCGCCACACTTTTGAATATTCGAATAAGAACATTTTAATATTTGTTTACAGTCCAATCTTTAACCCTATCTTCTGGGAACAGACTTCCATCACTTTTCTCTGCTCCCTGGATGCTTATTGAGCCCAACATTAGACACATTTAGCATTTGGCAGGTCATACCAGATGGGGTAAACAGACCAACAATACATTTCATACATATTATTATTACACCTAGCTAAATGATGGCTGTCTACTATAAGTCTGCAGTAGATGGTCATTGTGGATGCTGTCGGATTGTATTGTCTTATACAGTACTTACCGGTGTTTCTATTATTTTGTCCATCACATTTATACTAATAAGGGTAGGCTAAATATCGTAAAATATAGCTCAACCGCACTACAAACTTCATCCCCCAAGATGAGCACACAGTTGAATAAACACCTCTTGTGTACAGTTTCATTACAACCTTCATGGAGGTTGGATTTATAGCTGGACTGTAGTAGACTGCATTCGTTTTAGAGAGGTAGACCTAATAAACAGTCTATTTCTAAAAGGAAACAGAAATGCATCAGGCAAAATTCTTCCGATTAATCTTTTCTTCTTGCACGCTCACCCCGATCATGAACATCCTGCTCAGTGTGGTAACATCAAACCTAGGTCATATTACTGTAGCTTTGTTGGGTGTTGACGTGCCAAAGCCTCACACAGGTACACTATACAGCATCGTGCACGAGTACAGCAGCTGACTTTTGATTTCGAAGTTTCAGCACAGTTCACTTTTTTTGTCCTGAGGCATTAGGAGTATTGGGATACAGCACCACCAGAGAGCGCATGTACAGGCGTCTGACTTGAGTTGCAACTCCGCTCTCTCTCTCCTCCAACTATAGATCAGCAGGCCTGAAAATAGCTTCGGCAACAACCTCAGCCCTGACATTTGGATGTTGCGAAATGTTTTGACCGGTCCTCATGACCTACTGAACTGGTTCCAGGCTGCGATACGTTATCTCTACTAATCTGTTCTCACTTAAGTATATCTGCTAGCTAATGAGAGCTCATTTGAGTCAAGAGAGTTTGATAGAAATATGCAACAGCACAGGCACGTTTCCGTGACCCCGGTATGTTAAAGTTAGCTGTGCAGCCAAACATCCTCCCAAACACCAAACCCGTGCATGCGTCAGAGGGCGTGACCCAGGTCCCAGCTCTGCAGGAAAGTTGGCATCACTTTAGCTGGTTAGCAATGCAAGGCTACAAAAGCTAACGTAAGCTAACATTAGCTGTTGACTGAACTTGCTGTTCAAAACACCAGCGTCAGAGCTGAACTAGGCTACCACACCGTGCCACGGTAATGACATTAACAGATGATGTTAACGTCGGCTCTCCGATGGATACCACAATGGGTAGCCACATGCTAATGGTAGCTAGTGTTGTTTACACCCACCAGCTATCGTCTAACTGGATCACGTCTGCTTTAAAATAAGACGTTAAAAGGCCGAGCCGACAGCTCTCTAGACGTAACTATCAACATGTAAGCGGAGAGCGACACTCGGACTCACCTTAACAGCAATTATTGAAGTTCATGACTGACCCCGTGCTATCGACCCCTCCGCTCTGCATCGTTGTGGAGCGCAGCGCTGCACAGGGAACGCTGATTGGCTTAGACTCTGACAGACGCCGTGACGTCACGTCAATCCCTCAAGCACCAAAAACTAAAAAAGGGCCTTTTTAAATGCTCTTGTTTTACTCGTTTGTTCTGTTTGTGCTGCTGTTATTCACCTGCATTTTTTTGTATTTTTCAATTAAAGAAAGGTGACCTTTAATATCCCACAAGCAGATGTATGAAGAGATAAACAGAGATGTTTATGTTGGTGACAATACTACTGAGAAAGTATCTCTCTGGAATATGCTAAATTGAAAGCATCTTGTTAATTCTTATTAATATCTTATTTCATTTTTGTCATCATATTAGCAATTTACGTCCTATTATGTCCCATTATATGACAGCTAAAACATTGTAATTAATCACAACTAAACATCTACTTTACGAGGAGAATAGGAATAAGATATCTGTCTGTAAACCACACATCAAAAGGTGAAGCCCATATATTTGCAGAAATAGAAATTATGAAGGCAAGGCAAAGAAGAAATAATCTGTGATTAAAGGTTTCAATGTGACTCCACTCAAACTCTCCTCTATCAAGGTATATGTGACTTTATATGGCAGTATCAATAATGGTATGAGAAAGCAAGGAGTGTCTGTTGTCTGGTATAATTCTGGTATAAGAATTCCATGATTTTCATAATCCACCTGGAGAAGAAATTACGTTTTATTGAAATGACCTCAAAACAAAACTCAAAAGACTTCATATCAAAACATTTTAATCAATAAAAAGATTGAAATTTTTACAAAAAGTGTATTTACAGAACTATGTAAACAGTAGCAAAAGTACTGTATGTGTAAAGAAAAGAACAAAAAAGAGCTGCACAAGCTTGTAAACATCTTTGATAGGAACGCCACTAAACAACACTGACACTACCAATTACCTAGCAGGGGGTTTTATATCAGAAATCTCTCATCCACCAGAGTTTTGTTGGCAAGGTTCTTCCTTCCCAGAGTGTTACGGATCAAGCGAAATATCTGTAATGAATGAGATGGTGTTCAATACATGTTCTTTTTCGCACAGGGAAGGCAACATAAGGTATATATACATCAAGCACTGACCATTTGCTGTACGCATGTAAGCACCGCCGCAAGTACAAAGCTCTGAGATCCGAGGTCGACAACACAGAAGAACAAAGTGTCGAAGATCAGCAGCGTGGCCTCATTTCCATAAAACAGCACATCACTGAAGGAGTGGGCCTCATCTGCAAACAGACATTATATACACATCATATAAATACACTGTTTGTATATAAAAAAACACAAATGTATAGCCTGTCTGGGCCAAGAGGTCGTTACCATTGTAAAAGAGGCTTTTGTCACTGGGTTCAAGGAACTCCATCCCTATGACCCTCTCAAACATCAGCTTGTCCTTCACTATATAGTCCATGTCAGGGTGCGCCTGAGGTAAATAGGGCAACGTTAGAGATAGAACAAACTGTACACAATACTTCAGGTCAATGGAAAGAACACATATACTTTACAATCCAACACATAAATGAATATACAATCAAACTCTGCTGGGTTAAATGTGCTTGTGTGTATTTTAACTAACGTGGTCTATGATGGATCCCAGGAAGTGGTTCATGGTCTGGTAGCCTCTGGCCCTCTGCTCAAACTGGTTAGCCGAGCTTGCGTCTATCAGCCGGGATGGTCCGTTCCTCTGAAGCACAGGAGACAAGCAACCACTTAAATTGAGAATGGGGAGCCAATTTTCTCTTTGTGTAATAGCTTAAAGCTCAATCAATAATCAATAACGCAACAGAGAAAGCACCGACCCTGCCGATCTGCTCCCGTATCCTGTCGTAGTGCGACCGCAGGCGGTTGGTGAGAGACACCTGAAAGGTCTGAATCTCTGTGTTTGGAAGCAGACCTCTCTGACCACACAGGGACTCCTTGAAACACAAAAAGATGATAGATATATAACATGAAATCAACAATGTCGCAACATGTAGTCTGTTGGTGTTCCTACCGATTCTCTGTTCAGGTTGTTGTTCATTTCCTCCATGTTTGTATCGGCGTGCCCATGTACTGAACGTCCGTGAATGTAGTAGCCAAAACAACGGTGAGATAACAGCAGCACAGAAATCTTTATAAAAACAAAGTACACATATGTAAAATAGTCCTGACAGATAAAATGTTTCAAATGTAATAATAATAATAATAACTTTATTTATATAGCACCTTTAAATACAGAGTTTACAAAGTGCATTGACAGACAAAGCAGCAAAAGGCAAGGCAATAATAACAATAACAATGTAGGCTAATATGCACATTGCTACTCACATTACTGATGGAGCAGAGATCTACAAACTGACGGATTTTGTCCTCCACAAAGTGCTCATGAAACACAGTGAAGAAAATCACCTGAAGAGACACGGGATTATCGATTAAAGGAGCCCTCCACATTCATACTGTATACAGTATTTATTTCATTATTTAAGAAAGACAGGAAGAGGTGAGAGATCGAAGGATGAGATAAGAACGGCTGAGAGCGGTTTTACCTGCAAAAGTCCGATGCAGAGCCATAGCGTGGCTGCCAGACCGTAGCGCAGCATCAGGCTGTATGAGGGCGTGTAGGCCTGTGAGGAGCGCTGTAGAGTTGGCCAAGGGTCCCTGAGGGCCAAGTTAGAGAAACCCAGCACCTGAACAATAGACATGTCAGCGATTAGTAAAGGGACATAACAAAAGCTGCAAAAAAAGAGAGCAGTGTGCATGTGTTGGTGTACGATGTACTTCAAGAAAGAAGAGCACGGCAATGATCTGAAAAGTGGGGCTGATCTTGCGGATGGTCTGGATCTCGTTCCATTCATTGGCCACAAAGTAGGTTCTCCAGATGCTGACCGGAGAGGGGTCACGTTTCGGCTCACCAGCAGCTGAAACAGCAGCGAATATGGTGAATGGGATAAAAAAAACTGGATAATTTCTGCTTATAAGCTCCAAAAAACTATATTTGTACCTTGCACAGTTCTGCTAGTTTTGCTTCGTGGCCTCTCCCAGTCTATAAAGAATACATCAGTTGACACCTGAAGGATCAACTTGTGCAGAAACTGCACAGCCTGGAGACAAATACACAAAACAATACGTGTTCAACATGTCTAATATAAACACGCTATCCAGCTTTCAAAAACAATACTGTTCATTTTTAGATCTGTTAAGTAAGTGTCTAACCTTGAGAGCGAAGGCACAACCAATGTACGTCACAAAGCGCTCCTCTTGAGCAGGTAGTGGTAACAGCACAGATACAAACTGTTGGGCCTAAACGCAAACACAAATTAATCACAGGAAGCAGCCAATAACAACCACAACTAAATCTATGCACCGAAGAAAAATTTCAGGCAAAGAAGGTAAAGGAGGAAAGCGACTTGCCTTTAACGTCTAAAGAGTGCAAAGAGGACAAAAAGAGTTAGAAGTCAGAGAGAAGAGAAACACAATTTGTGTTTGGAAAAGAAATAAAGTTCAAATAAAAAGGGCTCAAAGGAAAAAGCCACAGACATGATGACAATGATGCAAACATTAAAGACTTAAAGAAATCAGACTAACCTTGTAGAAGATGAGCCAGTAAAGTCCACTTCCCACGGTGACGGCGAAGAAAACATTGGCCAGATCTCCAGCATAAAACAACAAAAACTTCCCCATAGTCTGACGTAGAGGAGGAGGGAGGGACTCGCATTACCCAGAGACCTTCCACTTAGCACTTATTGTATTACCACTTATTAGCATTTATTGTATTCATATTAGTTTGTTTCTGCACTGTACTTTTGCTCTGGTTTATGCTCTTAGATGCTTGTGTAAACAAGGAGATGCACTTATGACTTCTGGTGACTAGTAGTTCTCTTGAATACCTATGTTGAATACACTTATTGTAAGTCGCTTTCGATAAAAGTGTCTGCTAAATGACTGTAATGTAATGCATTACTGCCAAGCTTCACACCGACATAAGAATTGTTATTATGACACGTTAAAGATGCAATACCTCCATGTTAACGAGGGGCGAGGCGATCCTCCTCTTCCAGTTGACTGTCTTCAGCAGAGAGTAGATCACGGCCACACCGCCCATCACACCTAGAGCCGTCTGTGCACATTAAATATCAGAGCCATCACTGTGTGCTATAAACACTGAAGAGCATCAGTCACACACAAGAACGTAACCTTTGTCCGTCGTATTACACCATTTAACAATAAATGTACCATTAATATTTCTACTCACATCTGTTTTTATGCGAGCCTCATTCTGATCCATCTCGTACTCCACAGCAAACGTTGTCTAGAAACAGATGAATGAATTCAATGCATCAACAAGACAAAAGCTTGTTTGAGATAAACGAAGACAGCAACTTATTAGCCATTTTTCAGCTGACCGTGTGTGTGTGTCAACTCACAGTGACTGTTTGTGTATTGATATCCGTGATGTCAACGTCTCTGTAGGTCACAGTCATTAGAGGAGGAAATACCTGTCCTTCTTGGGTTCGTGGAACCAGCTGAAACCTAACCAAACACACTTTTGAATAAAAACATCACCACGTCTGAAGGAAGTAACAACGTTCTTTCTTTCTTTTTTTTAAAAATCATAGAGGTGTGCACATTGGAACCCACTTTATTTTGACACTGCTAGCTACACGGATGACTTTGGGCAGGGAACTCATGCTCTTCTCTCTTCCACTCAGCGTGTCGACAACAAACATACGTCGAGAAAGGTACCAGTTCTTCATTTTCTCTGTACAAGGACAAAATATATATTAAAGAAAATGCATACACACACACACACACACACACACACACACACACACACACACACACATTTACAGGATAAGAATTGAAGTTTCACCTTGGTTGATGAACCGCCCATTGTATTGCTGGTTATAGACCAGTGTAGGCAGGGGGAGAAGTTTTCTGTTCTCTCCTCCACCAAGATCCATAAACACATCATAGAACAATGGCTCGGGATGAGTACCCAACAGCTCTGCTACTGAG